ATAATTAAATTAGAACTGTTTAAAATTAACATAATCCTTACCCTAAAATGGTAAATTTGAAAGTTAAAACCATTCTGCTATCTAAGAAGATTTGTTAATATTTATCTAGACAAGAAACTTATTTAAGGTGAGCGCTACAAATCCGATATTTGATACGGTTGATTATGTATCAGTTTTGTCTATGTCATTAATCTATCAATTTTACTATTCAAAACTGATATATCAATATATATATATATATAACTAAATCTACAACTTGGAAAGTTTTTAATTCTTACAGAGAATAAAAAAGATCTGGCTCATCATTCCTTTAAGCATCATAAAACTTTAAAATGAGTGTAAAAGAAATTTATTTTTTAGCACACGCCAGACTTTAAATTAATATTTGTTTTACATGCACAGTTTTTACAATATTGATAAACGAAAATAAAGGCTTGCAGTCTCAACAGAATGTCCCATTAATGGCGATAAACGACTTTTTGTAGCACCCAATCTTCCTGGAAAGAAATGGGGGACAGGAAACGTCGCGCAGTTCGTGCATTAGAAAAGAGGGGGACGGGGATTTTCGATCAAATTCGGCGCAGTTCGTACCCTACCCTGAGAAATATACGCATATGAGAAATATACGCATAATAAGAATGGTTACAACGACTGAAATTTTGTTCACTCCTATCTCCGTGGGTTATTTTTTAATAAGAGCTATTTTTCAATAAAAACGAAAGAAATAAAAAGTTTCCCAAAAATCATTTAAATCTTGAAATTACGTGCAATTACCAATTTTTCTGCATAATTTTCTTTTTAAAAATATCTGATGTGTACACCGTATGACTTCCTTATATGAAATATTAAATTAAACGCAATTTTTCTTGCATTTCATTTAAACTCATTTCCTCAAACTTCATTAGACATATATTTCTCATTCAATTCAGTTCTCACTTCGCGGCATGGGAAAAATACACAAAAACCTCAAAATATCTTCATTAAAAACTGAAAGATATACAAAAACTTAAAACACCAAATACAGTTAAAATTATAGTTTCTATCCAAAAACAAGCAATTCGGCAAGCGGGCAAGAAGGCGGATTTTTCGGTGCACAAAACTAAAAGATTCCTTTTCGACCCACTCGGCAAAAAGGCACTGAATTTGCAGAGAAACATAATTCTTTATTCTATTAAGTTTAAAATGTAAACAAATTGGCTGCTATGGTAAAAGAAATTAGGATTAGCCGCACGTAAATAACTTTTAAATTGTTGATAATTCTGCAACTATTGCACACCTAGATACATATATCACAATCCTAGATACATGTATCAGAGTATTTCTGAGACTACAGTTCTTAAATTGAGCTTTGCCTTGGTTATCCTTAATTAGCCTCCTCGGTTAGTCTAATAAATAGTCCGAAAACGAAAATAAGCTTCAAAACCAGAGGCAAGATGTATTCCTACCACGTGTGCATGTTGCTGAAAATAATAGCATATTACTTCGGCTATTAAGTTGCAAATGGTAATAATAGTGATAATAAAATAATACCTTACAGCACTGAATCCAGAAGTAATTTTATTTTCATTACTGCAAGCGACTCCCATTATTCATGCAATTTAACTTCACTGCCCAAAAATATGAACTGGGCTCAAGAACATGAAAATGAGCCTCGAATGAGTGATAGAAACTCACATAAATACTTCCTGCGATTTAATTTGCTGTATGTTGCGATTAGAATGACCCTAGACTACACAGAAGCAGAGAAAATTAATACTAGTAAACCTTCAATTCAATGATTTTTGTACATAAAATGTTTGACATTTATAATCTATCTAAACGTAACTGTAGATCATGTGTATTTTCCCATTGTAATATATCCCCTCCTGTAAATCCCTTCTATTAGGATGCCAGTTCTAAAATTCCAGATTATCTAGATTCTTTAAGAAAATTATGTGAATGAAAGAGAATAAATTTCAAATATCACATTGGCCTTCAGTTTCCTTACCTTTTAATTTAATCTAAATGTTGTGGAACAACAAAATAGGATCTAGGATGAATACGGTTTGACTTAGAGATTTATACTAATCTAATTTTCGGAGATTATGTTTCAGCAGGTCATTTTATGTTTGATATAAATTCTCAAATAAATTTTAAAATTACAGAAATATCTGAACCTCGAAAAATCTGAAACTAATACGTAAAAATTGCCTGAAATCATGTCAAACCTAACTTAGGTATAAAACTTGCATAAAAAGGGATTCATATTTTGCCAGATTCCTTATTAAATTTTGTGCAAGGTATTTGTGCATTAATGTGTTGATATAATATGTTTGCAGCAAGAACAACTATCAGTAAATTGATAAGACAATTGCATAGCAGTCGTTTCATGCCTGATACTCTTCTTGGCTAATAGAATAAATCTGTTGAATGCTTTATAAATTTTACTTCCTCTGTAGGAGTAAAAATAATACGAAGCGGTCATAATTAGTTTTCATTTCACTGTTTTGTCTAATAACGAGCAATCAAATCAAAACGCATTGCGACCTTTATAACATTTGTTCATTTGTAGGAGGGTGGGATTCTTCTGTGTGGCAGGCAATTTCAGCTCCAAGGCAATCAGGGTTGAAAGTAGAGAACATTGACATTTTGGCGTTAATTGCTCGCCCCGAATAATAGAAAACCTGCATCTGGAGTATTATCTAAAGAAATGTCTGTCAAAATATTTTATCGGAACAGAAGTAGTATTCATTATTCAGTGATAGATTTCTAATGGTTGTTCCGGAGGAAGTCACATTCTAACGGCGCGTTCTGTTAAACAGTCGTGTTATCGGGTTTGAACTCTGTTTCTCTCTTTTAATACAAGTATATTGGTAGGCAGGGCGAGATACATTTTCTTCTGTAAGCTTATGGTATCGGAACCTAGATCTCTTTATGCAAAAATTGACGTGCATTAACGATCCTTGAAACAGACCAGTTTCTCTTCGATAACTTTCCACATATTGAATACATATCGATTATATGCTTTGCCATTATAAACACATATCTCATCTAGACGCAAGACAAACACGTCGACGTGGAAAATAAAACAGGCAAATCGGCAACTTTGTATTCGGCGTAGATTTCGTAAAATCCCAATCGATTTCGAGGGCAAAACGGGTCTTCCCTTCATCAAAAAAAAAATTCAAAAAATTCTGCAAAAGCGAAAAATTTTCCATTTCCATTTTCCGCTGTTATACTGGACCCAGCCTGCGTGGAATGCAGGCTTTTTGCCAGTTGTCGTTTAATAAGGGTTCCTGGAAGTACTAAAAACGGAACAAAGGTGTCGCAGAGACAAGATGTGAAAATAAGGGAAAGTGTAGCACTTTGCCACTAAAGAGTGTAACATCGTGGGGTGGTGTAAAATACAAATCAGATACAAATATGCAAAAAAAGTTGAAATGATGAAAGTCAAAAATAAAATATAATTATTCAGAATGAAGTTCCATAATTGAATCTTGGTTAAATATGAGTATTTACAAATATACAATATTAGCGTAGAAAGTCAAAATTGGAGCCATGTCATGTGATGGCTAGGGGTTAACTCCATAGGCTGGTGCGGAAACTTGTGAGAAAACTTGTTTTTTAAAAATATTTGTCATTCAAATAATGAGTAACATTCAAATAATGAGTAATAACATATTTTTCTCTGAAGGGCAAGAGTTCCTAGTCAATGGATTTCACAAGAGGTTTTTCACTAACATTTTGTGAAATTGCTGGAAAGTCCAAAATTTATGAGCAGTGGGCGTGGCTAAGCACAGAGTTCATCAGTCTCAGTAGTGCTCAGTTGACAGAAAATATGCAGTTGTAAATAGCTTATTGAGGAATATATACACATTGGATAGAATAAAATAAGGTTATAAAGTAAAATAACCAGTAAAATATGTACAGATATGTGCAGTCATTTCAGTAGCACTGAGTGATCCAAAGCAGAGATAGAAATTTTCTAGGCATTAGGGATTTTAAAGGTATTAGATTGGATAGGAATTAAAATCATTGACTAAACAGGATAAAATTTTGTGAATGTGAAAAGCTTCAAGAAATTAGCAGAATCAAAATCAATATTGTGATTGGTGTTGGTGTATTTAATTACGGCAAAGCATTCTAGGGCTATCTGCCTAAGGGGAGGGATGCCTTTCGTGGAGGACTTTCTAAGGGAAACTGGCTCGTATATACGTTACACATGGGGAAAACCACGAAAACACCCATGCAGCCAGCGGGATTCGAACCTCGGACCGAACTACCAGTGTTCAGCGACTTTACCGCTCGGCCGCTGGTGGGCCAATATTGTTATTGAATTTCCAACTATGATTAGCTATTGAAGATTTGTTAATTTCGCCTCTTCGGACGTATCGCTATCGGCTCTTCCACTGGTCGCCTGTAGGGTATAAACATGATCGACGTTCGCTTTTGCAGAATTTTTTGTTCCTGATGAAAGGGGACCCGTTTTGCCCTCGAAATTGATTGGGATTTTATAAAATCTACTCCGAATACAAGGTTGTCGATTTGCCTGTTTTATATATCTCATCTATTTATGGGTGGAAAAAATAGTGTAATATCCAGCTTAGAGACTTTTCTTGCATCGAAATGAAAGATGATATTCACTGGACAGTTAATCATCTGCAGCTAAATTGTAAAAGTTCTAACAGATTTGGGATTTCGTTATTAACTGCTAGTGAAGTTTATCAAATGGATACAAGTATGGAACTTATAAATATAAAGAATCAATTTAAAGAGACATGTGAACGATCTATGAGAGAATATTCCTATAATATAATATAATATGAGGCAAAAAACATTCTTTATAAGATATGGATGTATTTTGATGTTATTGTCAAAACGCTTCTTTTTCGTGTTGTTTTATTTTGGGTGGAAAATATCATTATTACCTTAAAAATTTGAAATTATTATTATGGAAACTGCTTGAAAATATCCTTAACAGTTTCTAATTAAAATCATTATTTTTTCCCTTACAGTTTACATGATTTCAAAATGAGTTATTCTACAAGCCCAAGTTATGACATTCTTGATTTCCAAATGTGGACTTGAAGATATTAGAAAAAAGATCTACCTGTCTTTTCAATATCCACATCCTTCTAAGATTCTGAAAAAGATGCACATCACCTGTTACAGTCAGTCATTGTCTTCCTGTCCTTCAATGGAACATGCCTTTTCATGATGTAGCAAGTAGAACATATAAACATATTGAAAACTGATACAATGATCCTTCTCAAGCTTGTTATAACAAATACATGCAAGAGGACAGCAAATATAAAGATGAAATTCTAAAATATTAAGTGAATATTCATGTAGGTGTAGGTGAATTTAGTTTAGTTAGAGTCATTAGTGGCTTGTAAGAGTAAATAATCATGAGTAATTGCATATAAGGTTCATCACTAGTTTAATAAGTGGTTTTTAATCTCCTTTAATCTCCTGCAGAACTTAATGAGTTCCTATCTAATAGAGAATGTTTTAAATTTTAGACAGAGCTTAAGTTCTTAAAACAGCAATATTTGGCTTTTTCTTCAAATAAATGCATTTAGTCTGCTGCTGAACGCTCAATTAAGTATACTGTCCCTTGCCTCCAATTAAAGCAAGTTTGAACTTGGAAAAGCTTGCATTTGCTTCCAGTAGAAGACTCTGGTATCCAAATAAGGTGAGTCTCCTTATTTTCGTTAATAAGCTAATATTCATGATAATATTATTTTTAACTTTTTAAGCTACTTTTGTGGATTTATATTAGAATTAACTTGAATTAGCTGTGTTTGGTCTGCTGTTTTTGCTAGCTTCTATTCATTTGTGGTTTAATTTTAAAAACAGTACGTGTAAATAGTTGTATGTACACACTGCGCAAAAAAAAAAAAAATTAGACAATTCTATATCTCCCGTTCTACTGGGCCGATTGGCAAAATTCAATTTGCTTTTTTTTTCATGTCTCGAAAGCGCGACTTAGGATACATATTAGATTTATATATAGCATTATTCTAACATAGGCATGTTACATGTTAAGTATATAACAATATTAAGTATAGCATATAACCATTAACAAACTAAACGATGACCTTCTGTAGTCCATGAGAATTGGCGATGTGTATAAGTGTGTTCAGTAGTAAATTTGGTAGAGCACTGTATACAATATTCAAGAACAAATGTGTATTTATAAATGTGAACATAAACAATAAAACAATTAAGTAATTTGAAATATATATAGGTTTGCGTTGTGCAGTAAGTTATAACCCGTTCTTAATTTAGCTGATTCAGTGTTTAAGCATTAATTAAAATTAAAACAAAACAAATACTATGTAAGAAAAACATCTAACGTTTATTTTGGTGAATTAACTAGTATCAATATACAATGTGGGTAGGTGGTGGCTGGTCAACTATGTTAAAATAATTAGCTGAAGAACCAATAAAAACAGAACATACCTTTAACATTGATTAACATGGGTGATATACCACATAATTTTTCTTTGACTTATAACAGTTACAGCTGGCTTTCTAGTTAACAATTCTTCCGCGGGAAAACAACTTTTTCTCCCGCGAGATTTTGGGAACACTACATTATCTGCAAAATAAAAGACAGAGGTAAGTAAGTAATTCGCTCCACTAAGGACAGCAATCATCAACGCGGTCAGGCTCCCATTTTCCGCTCGGCCGTTTCCATCTGACAGATTTCCGGACTTCTGGTTCCAACATTCTTATTTCTGGAAAAAGAGACTTCGCTTCAACTTCGCTGAGGGTGGTTTTTCAATGTCGTACCTTGTCGTCTAGCCTCCGAAGTTCTCTCCCAAACTCAGAGGTGATACCGTTGCCAAACTCAAAATTTCAGCATTCAAAATTTCAGCAAAATTCAGCAAACTCAAAATTTCTCCATCTCAAAGAAGAAGCCACAAATTTATTCAGAAGGGACTGACTACAGACTAGCAATAATAACAAATTAGGCCCCTAATGCCTGTGATGGTTTCAATATTAGTCGAAGAAATTATGTCCCTATACTAGACAAGAGTGAAAGGCCGGGCATGTTTTTGTTATTAACTCTACATTCTGAGCTTTTCTATACCCATTTAATGTTTCTAAACATTTGAATAACTCTCATCGAGCAAGAATAATAATTTTATCATCTCCATTGCGTAAAGTGAAAATTTCAGGACGAATGCAGTTTTGTGCTTACGATAATATTTTTTGTTACAAGGCTGTTACCATTCGAATGTTATAGCAATTTTGCTAAAAAATGCTTATTCTCTACGGGTTTCTCTATGTGGCTCTTTATTATATTCTATAAACATCACTCTTTTACATATTTGACTTTCATCATTCTATTATCATTGTTATGTAAAACAATGGCTAGATTTCAGAGAATATTACTTGGAATATAAATCAAGATTGTAATTCTTATATCGATCTACTATTTTTATACGTCTCGTTTTACAAATTGCCGTTCCAAGTATCATCCCAGAGAGTCATCAAAGGTTATGGCATCATTAATAATTGGTAGAATGTCTTTTTGTTAGTAATTATGAAAATATCGACTTCTACATCTAATGCATCTTTAGATATTAGAGCAATATATATCCATTACTTTTATAGTTGCTTCACAAATAATGTTAATAACTGTTAAATTTTAACAGGGTATGTGAGAAAACAATATTGCATTCAATAAATATTACAGAATACAAATCACAGAGTGACCTACTATTTTATTTTACCTTGTATGGATTATATGTGGTTAATGAGAATATAAGGCCACAGGTCTATTACAAAATCCAGACTAAAATGACCAGATGTTTATCTGCTTAAATAAGCTTTACCGTGATAATATTCCGATCGGAAGAGTTGAGGTTCCCATCGTTTCCTCGTTTTGAAGATTTATTTTGTGATTAATCGTGTTATGGAAGTCCAAGGAAAAACTCATTTTGCAGCTGCTTCAACATAGATGATACTGCTTCAACATAGAAGAAAATAGAATTATTTCAACGGTACGGATCTGTTTCTGCTCTGCATCGTAAATGTTTAGCCATATTTCATCACTGGTGTTAGCTATAGAAGATTGCCTCCTTGAATAAAAATAAGAGAGCATTTTCTTTTTCAAAAGTATAGCGGTTGTATTCAAACATAAGCTAGGGCCATTGACACTCTCATGCCGCAATGTGGAAAAAACATTTACAGCTTTACATGGTGAAATGACATAAAGAGCTATGCGGAATTTCATTATAAGGCTTGGCTTCCGGGATATATATACAAAGAGAATACGAACATCTGGAAGATATCATTTTTTAAAGCAGAATCATAGGACTCAGTTACATATCCTGCATTACGTACTGACATTCGATGTTATCATTCAAACAATCATACTAAACAATTCTGTAGTGACGATTCCAAATAGTATGTCATGCTTCTTTTGTTTGCGCCTGCACAATAAAACTAAACAAGTTGAAAGTTTATCTTACTTTTTTTATTTAACTTCCATACGTATACATTTTTCTTTCAGATGTTGTGTGTATATGTTTGCTGTATGTATATATGTGCATATTACAGTACATGCATAAGTAATACAGATAGAAGCGAAACCAACGGAGAAATAGGTGTGAGCAATAATTTCCAATAAAATAAATATTTCCATAACAATTAGTGAGCATACCTTTAATTATTCACTTTATTATAAGGGTATGAGATATTCAATATCAATATTTAATTATATTATTACAATAAGGATGCAGTGAAGAATGTATAGTTTATGTGATGAAGTGAAATAATGTGAAAAACTTTCCTAACCACTGAAGTTTACTCAAAGTTCATAAAAGAGACTCAAATCTTACGCTCTGGCTCTGTTTGAAGCACCGTTATCATACTGAAAACAACGCTGTACAGAATTTTAGGCTTAACGTAATTTTCTGAGTGAACGTCGAAAGTTATGGTTTACACTTACTCAAATACAAGTGTGATGAATGGATGTGACATTAATGAGAAAACTTATCTCAGCTAGTTGAAATTAAATCACGAAAAGTAAACACTCTTCGGCCGCCTTGATATCTATGACCCGCTACAGAACTAAAAATAGATGAGCTTTTCTAACAGTTACCGCTAGTATAAATCAAACAATGATACCACATAGATCTAAGTAGGTACACATTGCAGCATGAATTGAAAAACTTCCTGCAAATTCCTTGCCAAAGTAAAAGGAAATAAAAATGTCAACTGCCATTACAAGAGCTAATCGATATCTAACCGGCTTTCAAAGATGAGTTCCTCAGCGTAAACATTTGCACACCTTTTCTACAGTGCCCTTAATTACACCATTGTTTGAACCCTTCGTTTATTTTCCTTGGTTTTATCGTGAACTGCAAATCAAGTAGCTTTTACAGGAATACCTCCGCAGATAAAAGAGAGGAAAACAGGTAGCCATCGTAGTCCCGGGCAACTTTAAGGCTCCTACATTGTGCTTTATTGACAGATTTTCTTTTTAATGAAATCATTGCCTTTTTACCCTCTTTCGTTCGGAACTTATATTTCATCTGCTTTCTTAAAAGTACTGCAAAATATTTGCTTATTTTTAAACTTGTTTAAATATTTGTATAAATGATATTTTTTAAACAAGGCACAAATATTGCTAAAAGATGATTAAAAATAGTGCTTATATTTTATTTGTCACTTGCACTTCTATTGCTTGAAAATTCATGTTTCAAAGGAACTCTGAAAGAAACACATAATAAAAACACTAAGCATTAAAATGGATTGATGTTATGGAGGGCTATGATTTGAATGAATATTTGGAGACTAAACAAATAAAATGAGAAAAAAAAGAGTATCTCAAAATTAAAAAACAATTAACATTAGTATAAAAATGTAACAGAAAAACAAAACCAAACTTCAACACAGAAGTGTTTTAAACTAATTATGCAATTTTTTCTTATCCAGGGAACAGAAAGTAGACTTGCAGTTAGGTGTCCGGTGTTTTTCGGTGTCATTTCTAAGTCTACATTTTAGAATTTGGAGTATTAGTACAAAATATTGGAAAAAATGAAAATTTTTTAAAATATAACAATTAATTTAATATATACCCAAGATTTATACAAAATTTTTGAAATAGTATAAAATAGGCCTGTAACAACATGCAAAGAGCTGTAAAAATAATGAATGTGAAATGATAAGTTATTTACGATCTGCGGATAAGTGAAAAATGAAAAAATCATGTACAAATCCTTGTAACGAGTTATAACCCTGACAGCTTGTCAACGGTAAAATGAACCATCAGAAATAGATACTAATTCAGAAGTCAAACAACAAAAATCAGCGTTATATTTTCAAAATTTTCGCAGGAGTAGTTTCGATGGTTTTTACCGAACCACCATCCTCAGCTGCAAAACCGCTTTCTTATCTTATCTAGTCATTATTTCCTATCTTGTTTATTTGCGGTTTTGCAGCTGAGGATGGTGGTTCGGTAAAAACCATCGAAACTAGCCCTGCGAAAATTTTAAAAATATAACGCTGATTTTTGTTGTTTGATTTCTGAATTGGTATTTATTCGGCGTGTCTTTGTGTCTTAATCATCAGAAATATATCTTAAAATATTAGTGCTTTTACAGATTTATATTGTATTATATTATTTTTAGATTTATATTTAGTGCTAGGACGGCTAACTATATCAATATTCGAGAACACCCACCGGTGTTATTTTGGCAAGAATAGTATTAAATATGTTTGTTAAGTTCTTTAAGTTAGTTAAAATTATTTGTCACGTTCTGAAAGAAGGATACATTTTTCTTTACTTTAATTACATTAAAATTAGTGTTTTCACATAAAAATGTACGCTTTATGGAAAAATAAATTAAATTATTAAATTTAGCTTATATAATTATAATGGATGAATTAAATTTGATAGTAGAAATAACTTTTTATTCATTTTGTAAATGAAATTTCCAAGTAGATGAAATGGCTCGAAGTAAATTCGGACTCTATAATACACTTTAAATAAAATGTAAAATAGCCTTTTGAATCAATGCTTGTTTGCATATTGTTTTATCATGAAAAAAGCGAAAATTCACTACCACTAATACTTACAAATTATTTAAACATCTAAAGAGTTAAAACTATTCTCAAAATAAGTCAGACAACTAAAAATTCCTATTTGAAATGCAAATAATTCAAACGTTTTCATGAATTCATTGTTGTCAGTTCTGAGATACAGTTTTTGTTTGTTCTTTGCTTGTTAATTTTGTTTTGATTATTAAGAATGGAAAAGCAATTTGGATGAACGTCCATGGAAATCCGTGAGTTTATGATAAAGTATTTTAAAGATATGAACTCAAGAATATTACAAAAATAGTAAAATGAAATCATTCTACAGTACAGGACATAATCAAGCGATTTAAGACCAAAAAAATCGTGTAAAATAAGTCAAAACAAAGCGAACGAAATATTTTTACAGATTTTGAAGAATGTGATTAGTACGAAACGTAAACAAAAATCCAAAACTAAGTGCTCCCCGATTGGCTGTGGAAGCAGAAGGGTGTTCTAGGTGCTGGGGAAAAAATCCGTTCGTAAGCAAGATATTGATTAACAAGACTCAAATTCGAAAAGCATCACAAAAATACGAACTTTTCATTTTGGAAGATAATTTTATTTAATGACGAGCACAACTTTAATGTTTTCCGTTCGGATGGATAAACATATGTTAAGCAGGTCAGATAAAAAGTGTATGCGGACATAATGTGTGACTCCCGCATGGCAAAAAAAACTGACCGAAATATTAAATTTCGAATTTTGTTACATTACCAGTAGGACTCAATGTAAAAATAAACTATAATAATTCGAAGTTAATGTTTTCTCATTAATGCCATTCAGAGAAGCTCTTTTGTGATTTATTAGTATGAAAATATATTTAATTTATATTTTTGTTACACACAGTATACCCAAAAAAATTTTTAAATTAGCAGTTTATAAGCTGCACAATATTAAACGTATGTTATTAATAGCCTCACAAAATTCTTTCACTAATCATACAAAAAAGCATTAGATTAGAGATCTTTATCTTTTCAGATAATATTACCGGCAGTTAGCTATGAGCCATTATTTTTAGAACACTAATTCTATGAAATCCTATGTATAAGATCATCTTTTTGAAAGTAAAATTTTATTGATAACTTTTTTCGTTACTGTCCGCATAGCAATTCTAATCACATAATAATTTATGTGATTGTTATAGTTGTCTGTTAACATCAGACAACTATTTCTAAACTGTTTTAATTTTAGGCTAAGTATAACTTTAAGTATTCCACTCTTCAATTTATGCGCGACTTGACGACGGGCACAAAATTTTAAATTACGTGCATTAGCAAAAGTTTATTGTACAGGAGTCAAACGTTTTTCATTTTAGATTTTATAATGAGAATAATTTTGCTTCTAATGTTAATTATAAGAGTCGGACTGACGTATAATATCCTAGATTTCGCAATTTTTAAGAAATTATATTTTTGTAAATTTAGAATCCCCATAAAATAAACATTTTCTTTATTTAAAGCATTTTTGTAATGGGAAATAAATATGAATGATCAACGGTTGCTAAAATAAAGGCTTTATAAGGAATTTTATAGATACAGTGTATACTTTATGATGTTATAATAAAAATAACATTAAAGAGAATTACTACAATTACGTTTACGTGTTACAAAAAAACGTTAACTCAGACAAAATAGAGTTAAAGAGATAACATAAAAAATAACATTAAAGAGAATTACTACAATTACGTTTACGTGTTACAAAAAAACGTTAACTCAGACAAAATAGAGTAAATATCTGGTTATAACTAATGAAAAATGAATTACTTAAAATTATTTTAAATTTGCACCTTTCGGTTAATAAGTAAACGTTTTATCACTGAATTTTTAATTTCTTTCCTTGAAGGGTTACTAACGTTCTTTAGTAATGAAATATTTCATCTTTTAAGCTAAAATAACACGAAATTAACTGTTTACCATCGGCATTATGAACATTGATTCTTGAAGTTATCCGTTTTTTTCTTTCGTTATCTTCTAATTCTTGGTCACATATTTGAAGTTTTGCAACGATCACTCTTTTTAACTGGCTCCTTGACTTCTTCTCAATTCGTTTTTGACGCTGATCTTTCAGAAATGATCATATTCTCATATTACATATATAATAAAAAACTTTCAGGAAAAGTATCATAGGCTATCATAGACTAGTTGTCCAGGCTATATGGCACAAAAAATTCATAATTTATAATATTATTAGAACATTCATTTCTATGAACATAGCACTCGCAGTTCATAAAAATTACTGAACTGTATTATTGTCAAAGAAGCAGTACATATTATTTGAAGAAAGATTTGAATTTTCATGGTGCTTAATCAAACGTTTCTTTCTACTGCTCAATTCTCAAAATTATATTAGTTCTTACCTGGTTTTTTAATTAATTCAACTAATATTTCATTTTTGTAGTTGCGTTAATAAATAACTTTATAGTAAAATTATGTATTTTTGTACTCGAGTGTGATGTGTTTTGTGAATTTCTATTTTTAGAGCATTGGACAAGCGTAGGAACTATGGCCCTGTTGTACCGTTTCTCCCGCCTCAATGACCGCTCCAACACAGGTGTATTTACATTCATTGTTACACGGTCGGTAACGCGCGATGTACACCGCGACGCCACGACCAAAGATTTTGTGTTCGGCTATCACCGTTGGGCCGTCTCCTTCACCCGGACAGAAAAGGTCCTGGGCGTATACCTGATCTTGAGGAACCCGTCAGAGTGCACCAAGTGTTATGTGGACTATACCTTCACGATTCTGAACAGGGAACACTTCTCGAAGAATGAGGTCTATCCCCAGAAGCAGATCTGTTTCAGCGTGGAGGAGCCCGCCCATGGCACAAGCAAGTGGATGCTCATGAGCGAACTTAAATCGCGAAAGTTCACAGACGAGAACTGGGAATTTCTGATGGAGTTGTCTGTCAGTAACGCCATGACCGTCTTCGAGGGGATCGTGAAAATTCCGCATGTATTGCACTCGGCTAGTGGCCAGAAGAACCGGGTGAAGCTAGAGACTTCTTATTTCACGTTCGGAAATTTTGAATGGAATGTGTCTATCCTGCCCCAAGGTGACGAGTTGGACACAAGTACGCGACCACGTGTCCTTCTAAACCGATTGACAGGTTTCGACCACCAGTGCCGTGTCATGTACCGTGTCGTCCTGGGTGAGGGCGATCGAAAGATTGACTCTGGCATCTTGGACCAAATATCGGATATGAGCGGACGAATAAGAGGTTTCTCTCTTCGATGCCAAATACCAGATATCGTCCGGAGAACAGCACTCAGAGTTTATACAGAAATGATTTGCGCCAACACTATCAGCGAAGCCAAAGTACCCACCACACGCGATCCCAATTCTACTGCTAATTGTTACGACCGAGATAAACAGGGTTGGTGCGTTGAAGCAGATATGGAGTGCGAGTTCCTGAGGCTGAAGCTCTTCTACTCGGATCTCCACAACGTACCAAGGAACCACTTACGGTCGGTTTCGTGGAACGCTTACGTCATTCGCGACCATCCCAGCACGGGGACCAAGGAGAGTGTGATTGTGATGAATGCCCCTCACAACAGTTACTATGTGCAAGATGGAGTGGATATGGGCGTCATTATGGAGACCAACATACCCGTTAGACAAGTAAGTAGAAATCTTACTTTACATTTAGTTTGTTTATAAGATAATATTTACTTAATTTCCCTGTAAACACTGAGATAAATTATATTAACATTGATTTCTCATCAAAATAGTCTCTTAAAATGTATCATCAAAATAAATTCCCCAGAAGCAGATAATAAGGTCTCATCAAAATAAAGACTCTTATTCCACATATTTGAAAATGTAAAAATTCTTCTTTTACAGAGAATTCTGAAAATTTAAACTTTTATTTCAGTTGAATAACACGCTAATTAATTTAATTATTTTCTTTAATTTTAAATCAATTTTCCATTCCATTAATTTATTTCTTTCATGAATTATCATTCATTACATGAAAATATAGTAAATTCCGACTTCGTATTCCTGTACATAAAATTGTGGAACTTCTTATATATTATGGTTAGTAGGAACATTAATGAACCCTTACATCGATTTCTCGTGATTTCTTGACATCTAATAACACACGTAAGTAAAAAGATGATATTGCATTGTGTTTCCCCTCAACATCATACTCATTGTTCTAGGAGTCTATAATCGACACATGATGCTTCCCTTTACTGAGATTGGAGCATATTATGCCTTATTCAAAATTTTGTTGGATGAAAGTTTAGTTTAATCTCTAAAAGTTTATCAGTAAACGGAAAATAGCTTAAAGCATTCAGGGTCCAGTTTAAATGGGAAGTTAAATTGGTCATCTATTTAGGGAAGAAGGAATAGTATGAAATGCTTTCACATGCGACGTATAGATTAACTGCCCTGAACTATTTGTAGAAAAAGCTTACACGCAGCTCATGCGGCTGGCAAGTTCTGCTGCATCTCATGTCTGTTGTTGTTTAGAACCTGATCTCAAGCACGAACAAGAATTTCTGTGGAAGCACTGTAGATGACGATGAAATGCTGTGGATCGAAAGTACTGCTAATGATGAAATCCGTGATTATCCTGTTTTAAATATTACATTTACTCTTCTCTGCAACAAATAATCAATATGGCGTCTTTGCGTCACATTGAGTTGCTCCATAGTATTAATATTAAGCTTTCTATTGAGGATTTCGAGTAAAATGGAATGAGATTCTCTTTAATTCTGGGTATTATTGTACTTATACATCTATGTCAAACCGAAATATATATATATATATATATATATCATCAGATATTCAAATAAAATTACTGTAAATGCCTGTACATATATATATGTACCGGTAATTTTATTTGAATATCTAATGACACCTGAAAAGGTACAAAGGCATAGTTATCAACATGATTAAGTTAAAATAGGATAGATAAGAAATTCCATGTTTCATTGGGATTTTTTCCCTTTTGATTACTTCCTTTACATATTTTATAAATTATCCTTTAATAGTATCATTTGGTCTGATTGGTACATCAAATATTTATCCATAATAAATTGCATGTTCTTATATATCAAAAAATAGTTAAGGACGTTTCTAGAAGGGAAACACAATGTTTAATTTCTCTTTCAACGATATATATGCTTTTTTCCTGAATATTCATTGAAAATTTAAGTAAAACAAGTGCAGCTGATATAAAAAACAAATTACTTACTGAAAAGCGATGCATTTCTGAATTAGGCCCACCAGCGGCCGAGCGGTAAAGTCGCTGAACACTGGTAGTCGGTCCGAGGTTCGAATCCCGTGAACGGGCTGGCTGCATGGGCGTTTTCGTCGTTTTCCTCATGTGTAACGTGTATACGAGCCAGTTTCCCTTAGAAAGTCCTCCACGAAGGCATCCCTCCTGTTAGGCAGATAGCCCTCGAGGCTTTGCCATAATCACACACGCACACGCATTTCTGAATTAAGCAAAATGTTAACAATACTATTTAAAAAATTTCAAACTTGTTTGCATTCTTTTACGAGACTCAGAATTCACATATACATATTAGAGTATCACATTATCTCTCCATATAATAAAAGAAAGAGTCTGTGTGTGTGTGTCTTTCGTTCGCGCTGCGCGTAAGCTAATAGACCCACGGCTACGAAATTTGCTACATAGATGCATCTAGACAAGAGCCAGTGCACCTCGAAGCGATTTTTTCGAAATTTGAATTCGAATTTTTTTTTATTTCATGTTTTGTGACGAAATCGCGTCATTTTGAGACATAATGAGCTATAGGAAAGCGAGATTTTACTCTACACACTCCCTTTTCACATCGTCATGAAATGTAGGCACTTAGCTATTTTACAAACTTAAAATAAATTTAGTGTTTCAATAAATAGATTAAATACGAATTTATTTAACAAAGGGAGCTCAAAACCTTTTCAACGGGATTTTTTCAAAAAAGGTTTATTTTTAAAAATGTACAGTTTATTTTTCTTTGATTTTTGCACCCGTTAAACTTTCATCTTTGCGACTGCTTTTACAAAAAGAATTTTGGAAAAGTTAAAATATTTTGCATTTTTAAAAAATTTTTTAAATGAAGCGTCCGAGTACACTTCTCACATCTCACATCTTTAAAAATGTGATTTTGGCAACAATTTTCCTGTCTTATTGTTGTTGATATTTTTTGATGAAATCGCTTCATTTTGAATAGTTTCATTCTTTTAGAAATATGGGTTTGACAACAATTTTTCATCGTATTTCTTATGTCACTGTTTTTAAGAAATTGGCATATTTAATTGTCATTTTTTTATACATATAATACATTTTTATTGATTTTTTTTTTGATAAAGTTGTTCTGCTGAGTAAAGTTCTGCGCGGAATTTTTTTGTTTTTTGAGTTTCTTTCATGTTATGTTTTGCTTATTTCACTGTTTGTAAGATATTGAAAAGTTTTGCATTATTGTTTTTTCTCAACGGAAAGTTGGTTAATTTTTTATTAGGATAATTAATATTTGTATTAAGTGATATAGCTTATTTCATTGTAGTTTTTTCCTCTTGAAAATATAAGATAAAATATCATTATTTATACTTTTCTTTATAGAATGTTTTGTTTTTTGTATTCTTTTATGCTATTTATTGCTCATTTCACTGTTTTTAAGATATTGAAAAGTTTTGAGTGATTTTTTTTAGGAAACAAAGTTCTTAACCTTCTTTATACCATTTGAGTTCTTAAGATTTTGCAAAGGGAAGCTGGTTAATTTATTTATTAGGATAATTAATATTTGTGTTAAGGGATATTGCTTATTTCATTGTAATTTTGTTATAAGTAATAACTTTTTTTAATGAAGTTGTTCTGCAGAGTGAAATTCTACGCAGTTTTTAAATTTGACGTTTTGTTAAATCCCTTCAGCCATTTTTCCAGTACATTTAAAAGCCAGACGAAGGCTAGCGGCGAAGCTGCTAGTATTTTATAATACATAACTGGACACTTGTTTTATCCTGGAAATCGTTTTGCTTTTGCAGATTAAGTAAAATGACGCAAGACTTTGCTACTGTTGTTGACTATTTAAGCAAGCATCTAATGCAGACTTTCTCAACCGGTGGTACGCAAGATAAAAATAGTATTTTTAACTATTAAATTGAAAAATTAAACTCCAACTTCCTGATTGAGTTTTCTCTAATACTCGTAAATTTATGCTATCTGAGTTTTGTTCAAGAGTGGTGGTGGTAGTAGTACTTTGTAGTGGTGGTATTATAGGTTTTCAGTTTTTGCTTAGATGGTACGCCTTAGTCAAAAGTTTGAGAACCGCTGATTTAGTGTATGATTCTGAAATATTTAGGAACTTGTATGTATTGTATCATAAAGGAACACTTAATAAATCAATGATCTCGCGCATGATTATGAAACAAGTAACAGATTTATTCGCATTTCATTGTTCTTAAATCTATTAATGACCCAACTAATTATTTCAATTAATTGAATGACATCTGAATTACTTAAGGCGATTAATCAATTAAAAATTCTCTAGGCATAACTTCGGTTATGTAATTTGTATGTGAAAGTTTAATGCTGTAATTTCTAAGGCAAAAATTATTTAATAGTTTCAAAATAAATAGCGCTTACATTTGTATACTTTGCAACATGGACGACATTCTGGAGATTCTAGAAAAAACTGCAGTAATTAAGTATGCAAATTAGCAATCTAGGGAACAAATATTTATCGTTTCACTAAAAAATACGCAAATTGATAGTAAATAAATGTCTATTTATTTCGACAAAGTATGCGACTACTACATCTCATAGAAAGGATACTCTGTTAAAACAACTATAAGGGAATCGAGCTGTATTTACACTTACTAATCTGAATCGAAACACTTACTAAGTTGCTAATACTGAACAGATTTATTATTTCCTTGAATTAAATACAAAATTTTAACTTCGCATTCCGCATATTGTTGATAGCTATTTTTTGAGTGCACGATTTTGTTGCTACTGTCGTTAGCTCGTACCTGTCTGGAGGTGCCAACTGTATTTGGTAACTAGAATTACTGTTCATTACTAATAAACCTTGTTTTGGATTTATTAATGATATTGTTTACAGCGAAACCGATAGAACCACTGAATGCCCTTTGCTCTTCTGCTAAAATCGAGACCTGATCATTTGAACCGTATCGCAAAAGATCAAGCTTTATCTCGAGCAATTACGGAACAATGTCTTTTCTGCTTGGAGACTGCGGCTGCAATGCTAAATTCTTTTCTTTACAGAATTTATAAATTAAAAATGAGAAAATCAATAAAACTTAAAAATTATGCAAAATTTTTCAAATTTATTAAAATTACGACTTGATGTCTGAGGACGAATTATGTTAAAATAAATTAATTCAATAATAATGACCTAATCTGGCACCCGATTCGGTTGCAAAGTGGGGCCAAAGGATGTCGCAAGTGCTTAGCAAATACCTCTACATCATTATTAATATTATTTTAATATTCTTCAAAATTCATTTATCTTACTTAGATTCTCTTAGAATCTCTTTTAATTAAATCTATTTTAATCTAATGCTCTTAAAATTAACTAAGAAATAAAAAGAGATATTAATATATGACTTTATCTCATTATTTACAAGAAAATGACGATAAAATT